TATCAAAATATTCCTTTGAGACTTAGTAATTATTTACCATATCAGAATTACGCTTTTAGTTTTGTCAAAATCGGACAACATCATATAGCTGCCATAGAAACGATGGCAAAATCAAATCGACATAGCTTCATTGATTTTAGTAGTACAGTAGTAGTACCTTTCTTGTTTTATAATGTTTTTTATTCATTAAAAATATACTTTTTTCAGTGATTGACAATTTTTCGATGCAACACTTTATCACACATAAAACAAAGCAGTATTAAAACCAAAACTTGTGTGTTTCGCCTCCACCTACTGGCTTGGACAATTGCTCTCTCTCTCTCCCTCTGACAATGGCAGTAAAATATATCTGTTCACTGAAGCAGAGATTTAAAGGAATAATGGATGTAAATAAAGTGAATCTCGAAATGCAACAAATCAAAAGATAATAAAAAACTTTGTATTAGGGATCTTCCAGGTGAGAGACCTAATTCCTTCTTCCAAATGGGAGTGGTTTTGTAGTTGTGATCCATAGGGTTGGGAAAACAGTAGTTTTCAGACTCAAAAAAAAAAGAAAACACAATCATAGATTATAAAGCCTAGTACTCAGATCAACGAAATCTGTTCCTCAGCTATGAGAGAGAGTGAGAGTCAAACAGCAGGCGAACAATTTTCGCCAGGCTCATTTTCACTCCGGTACTCAGATCGACCAAAAATAACCAAAAATTGCATAGCCTTGCCAGTCTGCTGAAATGAACAAAGTTCGTCAGCTACTAGCGGAAAGATTAAAAAATGTGACTATTGTAAAAGCGGAGTGTTTCATTAATCAACATGAAAAGAAGCAAACTTCGGGAAGCCGAAATTTATATACCCTTGCTGTTATTACAAAACGACTACATTTCGATTTCTATATCGATTTTGCGCTGCATTTTGCCATCGTTTCTATGGCAGCTTTGGACTATTTTGCGTAGAAACGGACGAACGGACGGACAGGCGGTAATGCTGATCAACATTATGTATACTTATAGGGTCGGATACGTCTTCTTCACTGCATTGCAATCCTTTCAGTATAAAACACCCGGAAAAACCTGGATAATAACCCCTAAAAAAAAAGCTATCACACTGGCGAACTTGTTTTTCAATCTGAGTGCTAGGCTTAACCAAAAAAAATAATCTATACATACATAGACTGACTAGGTCAATATACCTAACGTATTGAATCCTCGGCGAATCAAGGTTGCTTCCTTGAGAAACACCTAAAAGTGTTCGGAAATCCCAAAAGCCATTACATTTTTTTGTAATACACAAAAGCAAATCCTTTCCTAAAATCTATAAAAATAAACTCCGTTTCAATTTTATTTTAAAACCGTGTGCTTGCAAATGATGATCATGGTTTTATAATTCCGTGATGTTCGGAGGATTTGATTGAGCTGCTGGAACAGTTTAATAGATCAAACAAATTTGGATGGATGCAACTAAATTTACAATATGCGACTGTTGTTATTAGAGCGGGTGTAGGAAAAAGATAAATAAAGGCTTGAAATTGCAAAGATTTGTATTTAGTTTAACGAACTTATAAAAATGCTTATAGTCTTCGTGAACTTAATTTTAGTTTAAGTTTAGCCTTCATGTTTTTTAAGTTATTTTTGCACCTTTTGGGAACCCTTGTTAGGTTATTCAGTTAAGTTGCAAATGTGTATTATTGAATCTGCCTTCAATAACTACAGATTACAAAATTAAATCTACCATTTTCTCAGGAAACGAGTCAGACACCATAATTAATAACACTCAACAATAATAAAATAACACTCAAAAATTTTTAAATGGCTCCATTTTTATAAGGTATATACATTCTTAATCAGCATCACCAGGAGAGTCGATCTAACCATGTCCGTCCGTCTGTCCATCTGATTCTACGCAAACTAGTCCCTCCTTTTAAAGCTGTCTGCTTGAAACTTTCCCAAGTTGTCTTTATATTGCAGGTAAAATATAAGTCGGAACGAGCCGGATCGGGCGACTATACTATATAGCTCCCTAGGAACACTCGGAAAAAAAATTTTAAAAAGTATAACTATGTTGTTTTTAATTTCTTTGGGATTCGGTAATAAATAATAACTATGGAGTTTCGGTTTTAATTATTAAGATCGGACATCTTCATCATATAGCTTCCATAGAAAAATCAAAAATATAAAAAACAAAAGTTGGAAAAAAGGTCGGTCTGTCCGTCCGGCTTGCCATAGAAAGGAAGCATTTCTTGTTATACCCGTTACTCGTACAGTAAAAGGGTAAATATTCGTGCAAAAGTATGTAACAGGTAGAAGGAAGCGTTTCCGACCCTATAAAGTATATATATTCTTGTTCAGGATCACTAGCCGAGTCGATCTAGCCATGTCCGTCTGTCCGTCTGACTGTCCGTCTGTCTGTCCGTATGAACGCTGAGATCTCGGAAACTATAAAAGCTAGAAGATTGGCATTTGCATGTAGATTTTAGGAGTTCCTACGCAGCGCAAGTTTATTTCAAAATGGTGCCACGCCCCCTCTGACGCCCACAAGCCACAAGCTGTGGCCACAGTTTTGATGCTATTATGAAAATTTTAATTGATATGTATTTGTTTCGTCAATACCTTTCGATTGGCCTAATAAAAGTTTGCCACGCCCACTCTAACGCCCAAAAACCCATTAAACGCTTAAGCCTGGCTAGCGCCTACATTTCCGCCTTTCATGGCGCCATCTAACGGATGACTTTGGAACAGCTGGCCAAGGTGCTCAACAGAGTCAACGTTAATTCTCGATAAGGATTTCTATTAAAGGAAATTGCAATGGTTTTCATTTGTCAATACCGAAGTATATCCCAAGAACTATGCAAATCAAATCAAGTTAGCCAAATTGGAGGTCTGAGTCAAACAATGGCGTATGTGTGTATGTATGTACACAGTTGCCATTGCATATTTATATTAAGTTGTTTAGCTGAGTAACGGGTATCTAATAGTCGAGGCACTCGACTTTAGCGTTCTCTCTTGTTTTTTTTTTTAAATTAGCTCCCTAGGAACAACCGGAAAAAAATTTTAAAAATAATAACTACTTTGTTTTCAATTTCTTTGGGATTTGGTAATAAATAATTACTATTTCATTTCGGTTTTAATTAAATTAAGGCCGGACATCTTCATCATATAGCTCCCTTAGAACAATTAAAAAAATTAAAAAAAAAAAAGATGGAATAAAGGTCGGTCTTTCCGTCCGTCCGGCTTGCCAAAATTTTGCTCCCTTTCTTGTTTTAAAAAAAAAAATTTTCCTGACTGCACAACATTTTAGGAATATTGTGTTAAAATTTTAGATTGATCCGAGTAAAACGTCCGAAGTTATGGGCAGGTAACGCCCATACACCTGTCGGTGTACGCGATCCTGCAAAATTTACTTTACGAATCTTTTTGAAATTTTGCACAGTACTTCTGTTGAGTTTATTTTATTTTTGGGAAAATGTATTATTTTTATAACTATAAATAACTCAAATTTTTGGCGAAAATCGAGGTTTATGACTTTCAAGTGCAAGAAAGGAAATACCCTTTGCAGTATATTCTGTAAATTATATTCTCCAAAATTATTCATATGATGCATTCTTAACACTTATGACTCGGCCGGTCCTTATGAAATTTGGTAGGTCGGATTGATTGGCCAAAAATAAAACCCATAGAAAATCCCAACTTCCTAACTTTACAAACACCAAAGTTGGCATTTCCGATCAATCAGTTGTATGGCAGCTAAAGGATATAGTCGGCCGATCCCGACCTTTTCGACTTATATACTGCGTGCAAAGGAAAGAAGGGTGTGTGCAAAGTTTCAATTCGATATCTTTAAAACTGAGGGACTAGTTTGCGTACTAACAGGCAGACGGACAGACGGACATGCTTATATCAACTGAGGAGGCGATCCTGATGAAGAATATATATACACTTTATAGGGTTGGATATGTCTCCTTTACTGCGTTGCACACTTTTGACCAAAATTATAATACCCTCTGCAAGGGTATAAAAATAAAAACTCGAAAGGGTACCAGGGAAAATGTGTCCTTTAAATAATGCAATTTGATCTTTTCAATTTAAATGATTCTGTGACCAGTTACGTTGTACACCGCAAACCACCTTTTTTCGAGGTGCCGCCGTAGATTGCCTGTATCTCACTTACTTTAAAATATTTTTTCATGCAAATTTTCACACACATTGTTTAAATTTTGTATTATCAGATGAAACATTCTGAATCACTATTTATACACAAGTACAAAGGATGTAGGCTTGACAAAATATGTTGTACCACAACACATTTAAAGCATTTGCATGTTAACTGAACATACCCTATATGTTTTTTTTGTTCCTAAAGTAGGCCCAAAATATGTTTTCAGGATTTTCTTTTTCTCAAATACGTCAACGTTTATCTAGACATATTTTTCTTTCATTATGCGTAAAATGGTTTATTTTGCAATAGTGCAAGGAAATATAATAACCTTAGCTGTCGAGGTCTCGCAAACGAACAGCACGAAAACTTGGACTTAACATGCAGATTTTGTGATGCACATGCAGCGTTTGTATCAAAGTTGCCAAACTTCTGCGCCCACAGACCTTAAAATTCTGCGACCCCAACATTTTTGTTTGTATATAAATTCATCAGTTGCTCTTACGTAAAAGGCATTTTCAACGTAAAAGTCATAATGGCAGCATGTCTATCAATATTATATCATAACTTTTAATGAAAATTTGCGAATTGCACTTTAGGTCTACTTTTATTTTGTATGAGGGCTAACATAATAAATTAATTGAAGTCAAAATGTTTATACTATAGAAGCAGTTTCATATGTTGTGTTAAAATGCTATGTAAAAACACAATAAAATCCATTGATCTAATGATTTTATTAGGAATGCTTTTTTTAAACCGTTTTGTTTTATGTTATCATATATAGAGGTAAGGTTTTATTTGACTTTTTGCCAAAAAGTCTAACCTATTTAAAATTTGCCGTTTTTTATGCATAGAAACGGGTGTGCCACCTCTGAAGATTTATTTTGGAAGCTAGACGCTCTACAGTCTTTTATAAGAGACCTACACTGGCCAGATGCGGAGTTTCGACAACATTTAGAACAGCGCCTAAAAATGATGGCCGTTGATATGATAGAGCAATGTATACAACGAACAGATTCGTCTTTTCAGTCATGGCTGAAAAAAAACATTGCCTTTATATCAACTGATTACATTTTACCTTCTGAAATGTGCGCTATGGTCAATGTGATATTAGATGCTAAAAATCAAAGCTTTAAATTAACTACAATTGACGGCATTGATTTGGTAAGTTATTTAAACTGATCTAAATTGATTTAAAAACTTTTTAATATTTTTATTCTATATAGTATAAATTTCATTCAAAAATTGACGACCAAATCGACAAAGCGAATGTAGCTATGACACAAGGTCTAAGCAGTAAACTTATGTCAGTGCTAGACTCGACTTTGTCAAAACTAGCACGATACGATGAAGGTAGCTTAATCGGCTCGATTCTAAGTTTTACAAATGTTTCAAGCTCAGGAAAGGATCTTGGACAAGGATACGTAAATTTCTTTAGAAATAATATGGATCAAATACGAGGAAAGATTGGCGACGATTTGTGGACCCTAAATTTTTTTGAGCAGTGGTATTCGCAGCAGATCAATATGCTGTGTAATTGGTTGTCAGAACGCTTAGACCACGCTCTACACTATGCTCAAGTTTCATCTATTTCTCATATAATCAAGGTAATACAAATAAAACTTACAAAGTTTTTATTAATTGTAATTGCTACCCAGCAAAATGTGGTGCGATATTTTATTCTGTGTATTGATTTTATTATCTCTATATTTAATAAATAATCTTTAAAAGCTCTTAAGTTTCGGTCACCCTTAAGATAATTTCCAAAAAATTGCCACTTTCACTATCCATAATATTACTGTTCGACAAAAATATTACTGTCATAGTCAAAAGAGTATTTAGCTTCAAAGTAAAATACACAACTTATAGGCTTGATTGCCCGTTCCGTCTTTAACCTTATGTCTGCATTACTACACAATAAACAAGAAAGAAAAACTAAAATAAAACCCATAGAAAATCCCAACTTCCTAACTTTACAAACACCAAAGTTATGGCATTTCCGATCGTTCAGTTATATGGCTTATCAACTCAGGTCACGATCCTGATCAAGAATATATATACTTTGTAGGGTCGGAAATATCCCCTTTACTGCGTTGCAGACTTTTGACTGAAATTATAATACCCTCTGCAAGGTATAAAAATGGAACTGCCATCAATATCATCAGCAGCCGCAAAACTAACACAATCCCTGTCATATGTAGCTATTTATCATTTTCTTTCGATTTTGCGCTGCACTCTGTCATCGATTCTATTGTTGTCCGATTTTAATTTAATTAAAACCGCAATTCCATATTAAATATTACCAAATCCCAAAGAAAAAATAATTAACAAGAGAGAACGCTATAGTCGAGTGCGTCGACTATTAGATACCCGTTACTCAGCTAAACAACTTTAGATTTTGCATTAACATAATGTGAATTAGAGTGACCACAGGAAAAAGGGACAAAAAGTTCAAATTATCAATTTGAATTAGGCGATCTCTTAGCGCTGGCAGCTTTACAGCTCGAGCATCAGCACCAGCGCTGTTTTAGCGCAGGCAGCTTTTGTGCTGCACCAGCATACACACATACGCCATTGTTTGACTCAGAACTCCAATTTGGCTAACTTCATTTGATTTGCATAGTTCTTGGGATATAGTTCGGTTTGACAAATGAAAACCCTCGCAATTTCCTTTAATAGAAATCCTTATCGAGAATTAACGTTGACTCTGTTGAGCACCTTGGCCAGCTGTTCCAAAGTCATCCGTTAGATGGCGATATTGTATTGTGCCATCTACCCGGGCCATGAAAGGCGGAAATGTAGGCGCTAGCCAGGCTTAAGCGTTTAATGAGTTTTTGGGCGTTAGAGTGGGCGTGGCAAACTTTTATTAGGCCAATCGATAGGTATTGACGAAACAAATACATATCAATTAAAATTTTCATAATAGCATCAAAACTGTGGCCACAGCTTGTGGCTTGTGGGCGTCAGAGGGGGCGTGGCACCATTTTGAAACAAACTTGCGCTGCGTAGAAACTCCTTAAATCTACATGGAAAATGCCAATCTTCTAGCTTTTATAGTTTCCGAGATCTCAGCGTTCATACGGACAGACAGACAGACGGACATGGCTAGATCGACTCGGCTAGTGATCCTGAACAAGAATATATATACTTTATAGGGTCGGAAACGCTTCCTTCTACCTGTTACATACTTTTGCACGAATACAATATACCGTTTTACTCTACGAGTAACGGGTATAAAAACAACAAAGTAATAATATTTTGGAATTTTTTTTCGGATTGTTCCTATGGGAGCTATATGATATAGTCGCCTGACTTATATACCACCTGCAATAGAAAGACAACTTTTGGGAAAGTTTCAAGCAGATAGCTTTAAAACTGAGGGACTAGTTTTGCGTAAAAACGGACGGACGGACAGACGAACAGACGAACATGGCTAGATCGACTCTCCTGGTGATGCTGATCAAATATACTTTATAGGGTCGGAAATGTCTCCTTCACAGCGGTGCAAACTTTTGACTTAAATTATAATACCCTCTGCAAGGGTATAACAATAGGTAACAAACAACATAGTTTAAACCCTCAAACCTAAAAAAAAACAATATTACTCGTAACATATAAAATCAAATTTCACAGAAATCATAAGTCAAAAGAAATTGTATTTTTAAAAAAAATATTAAGTTGCAACGTACATTGTCATTTAAGTTAATATAACTTGTTTTTAGAAAGAACTATGTTTTAAAAGCCGAACTTTTTTATTCATAATATCGTTAAAAAGAATGTAACATTCTCGATAAGTATCACTTGGCGACTCGATCTAGCCATGTTTGACAGTCCGTATAAGCGTCGAGATCTGGAAAACTAATTTTTTAAATGTATTGTTCTTTCGTTTTCCACAGCTAACGTTGATATCTAATTACTCTTTTTTTAAAACTGTAAACTAGTTTTAATTTTCAAAAATAGTTTAAATGTGGTCTTTTAAGGCATAATAACAAATACATTTTATTTTATATTTATCTTTAGAAAATATACTCAGACTTTGAACTGCAAGGTGTATTGGAAGATAAATTAAATTCTAAAGCATATCAGGCGGTTGCACAGCGTATGGCAACTGAGGAAGCAACATGTGCTTTGACAATGCCTGACGTTGGCGAAGATGAGTAAGTTATTCTGTGTATTAAGACTAACCGTTACAAAAATGTTTCCTTCTACAGACCCTGCGATGATATTCGAGAAGGGGACGAAGAAGACACTGCGGACGAATCTACCTCTAACATACCAAGGGGCTTACCAAAACCAAAGGTGGCTGCCGCACAAGCTGCAGCTGTTACCAACGTGGTTGCCGGTCGTGTAGGAAATTTGCTAGGAAAAGGGATTGGCGGACTTAGTTCAAAGTTAGGAAGTGGAAGTTGGTTTTAGGAGGCGCAAGTATTTTTAATTATTTAAGAAACACCAATATTTTTTTATTGGACTTTTATTTTAAAGTTCAATTGTTTTAGATTTCTTACTATTAATATACAAATATAAAACTTTTAAGTGATGTTGTACCTTTTTCAAAAAGTTGTTAACATTGGAGAATGGAATTATCAACTTACTTTAAGTTTATATTCTTGATAGCGAACCGAATTAGCTGTTTTGCTTTTTTAATATTCAATTTAAATAAAACTTCACTCTTCTATTTCTTATTCATGAAATATAACGTATTGAACCCTAATTAAATAAATAAATACATAAATAGCTTAGTTTATCATTTGGTTTTTAGAGCAGATATCGTTACAAAGAGCTATTGCACTGAAAGCAGAGCTGTTACCTGATCCAACTTGTTTTTTTGTTTCAGAAAAATAAATATATTACTGTCATGTACTAAACAATACTTTTACATGCATTTTTCGAAAACTGAATAAATATTTTTGGCTCATTAGCTGGCTGAAAACAAAGCTCATGTTAAAGGTTCAGATGACAGTTCTATTTTTAGTTTAAGTATATGTGCGGCCAGAAAGATTTAAGAGGTAGCTAATTTTTCAATTTGTTGAATTACCCGAAAATATATAGCATTTGAAAAATTGTTACAACTTCTATTTACTACCCCCTAATAATTCAAAGGGGAACACTTAATTAACAGTCAAAATGCTGAGTTTCTACCTGTTAATAGATAAACGAATAAAATATAAAACACTTGCTTTTAATTAATCTAAAATAATTGTTTATATATCTTGTGTATCAATCACCACGTGATTTTAGTTCGTGGAATAAAAATCTCGTCGGTTTTCTGTTTTTCAAGGTTTGGGGAACCACCGAAAACTTTTTCAGTTTTCCTGAGCTATGTCTTTGCATTTTTAGTTAGCATACAATGTATAGGTAGTAGGCAAGGACTTCGAAGCAGAGCGAAAAGAGAGCGGAGGCGGTGGTTCCCCGAAACCTGCCCTCCGGGGTAGCCCAAAAATATCGCACGCAGGACCAAAGGACATAACAGCGAAGGTAGGTATTAAAATAGTAGTATTAAAGGGGGTATAGTATTAAAATGTTTTTTTTGTATTTGTTTTTTTTTTTCTGAATGCACAACATCTTGAGAATATTGTGTTAAAGTTTTAGATCGATCCGAGTAAAGCTCGTTTTGTATGGGTGTCCAAAACTTTAAAACGCTCTCCTGAAAAGTTACCCTTTTCAAAGTCGGTGTGCACGATCCTGCAAAATCTATCGGACGGATCGTTTTGAAATTTTGCACAGTTGTTCTCAACTAAATTCCTCAGGTAACGCGGTCGATTTTTTTTCTTTTTTTTTGAAAATTTATTATTTTTATAGCAACAAATATCTCGACGTTTTAGGCGAAAATCTGTGTTTTAAACTTTCAAAACTCGACAGCGTTACCTGAGGAATCTTGTTCTATAACTAATGCAATTGGATTTTTTTATTTCGGATGATTCTGTGACCGGTTATCGTGTACACTGCAAAACATCTTTTCTTCGAGGCGCCGTCGGAGATTGCCTGTATCTCAGTCAATTTTTAATATTTTTGGAAGAAAAAAATCACATATAATGTTTAAATGTTACCCAATCACATGCAAAAAACAAAATTGAGCTGAGACTATCCGTATAGCCAATAAAAATTTGTAAAAAATGTCAGATTTTTCACCGAATTAACTATACTCCCCTTAATGTCTGTGGGGAGAAAACCACTTCAATATTTCTGCTCAAAGGGTCAAGGAGTATGAAAATTGACTGCTTTAAAAATTTACCAAAAGCTGTTACCAATATCCTTCTCGAAAGTTTGTATACCCTTGCAGAGGGTATGCAACGCAGTGAAGGAGACATCTCCGACCTTATAAAATATATATATTCTTGATCAGGATCGCCTTCTGAGTTGATATAAGCATGTCCGTCTGTCTGTTTCTACGCAAATTACTCTCAGTTTTAAAGATATCGAAATGAAACTTTGCACACACCCTTCTTTCCTTTGCACGTAGTATATAAGTCGGAAAGGCCAGGATCGGCCGACTATATCCTATAGCTGCCATACAACTGATTGATCGGAAACGACATAACTTTAATGTTTGTAAAGTTAGGAAGTTCGGATTTTCTATGGGTTTTATTTTTGGCCAATCAATCATAAGGATCGGCCAACTATATCCGAGCCGGATCGGGCGACTATATCATATAGCTCACATAGGAACAGTCGGAAAAAAAATTCAAAAAAATTGTAACTTTGTTTGTAATAATTTTGGTTTTATTTAAATGTTATTGAATTACGGTTTTAAATTAATTAAAATCGGACAATAATATCATATAGCTGCCATAGAAACGATGGCAAAATGGCAGCGCAAAATCGACATAGCTTCATTGTTTTTAGTAATATAGGCATAGAAATCGAAATTTATATATACTATAGTTAAAATTATTTATACGTTGGTGATTCCTATTCCAACGTTGTTTTCGAAAAGAAAAAATGTGACAAAGTTTTTTTTCAAAAAAGATAGATGCAGCAGTTAATAACACCTCTCAGGAGCTACTCAGGCTAGAATTACAACATCTCTAGATATTACAAAATAATCAGGATTATCCAATCAGAACTTGAGTAACGGCTAACACAACTCAGATAGTATATCCAAGCAGAAAAATTTAAACCGAACGTGGTGTCAGTGGGAAGCTGCTTATAAAAGGTTGAATTCAAGAGAAATCATTACAAGGCCAACACCACCGTTTCTGACCGGATTTAATAATTTCAGTGGAATAAACAAGTGAAAACCTGGAGGAATCCGTTTCCAGCACGCTCACACATTACCTTACATCCCAAAAGATTAATCATTCAGGTGCAAAATTTTGACTGAAATTATAATGCCCTCTGCAAGGGTATAAAAATGGAACTGCCATCAATATCATCAGCAGCCGCAAAACTTACACAATCCCTGTCAATGTAGCTATTTATCATTTTCTTCTTCAATTAAAGCACACAAACAAATTAAATAAAGAACCCCTTTGTTTGTCTGTGTTTATAAAGAAAATCGTCGAAATGTCCTACAACATTAGCAGCCCAAAATCAAAAAGAATTCGAGTTTCAAGGACATTGAGTGATACTTTAAATATTACCATCAATATCATCAGGAGCCGCAAAACTTACACAATCCCTGTCAATGTAGGTATTTATCATTTTCTTCTTCAATTAAAGCACACAATCAAATTAAATAAAGAACCCCTTTGTTTGTCTGTGTTTATAAAGAAAATCGTCGAAATGTCCTACAACATTAGCAGCCCAAAATCAAAAAGAATTCGAGTTTCAAGGACATTGAGTGATACTTTAAATATTACCAGTGAAAACATAAGTTACATTCAGTAAATATGATATTTCGACTCATTTTCGACACTGTAAACATATTTGAAGATGTATAATATTATATATTACTTCTATGGTGAATAAAGTCAGGGGAGTACTTGGATTTATTAAAAGGTGGTCAAAAGAATTCGATGATTCTTATGTTACCAAGACTCTGTTCATTTCACTAGTCCGTCCAATCTTGGAGGACTGTTCACCTGGAGCCTTCAGTATGGTGTACATATAGACCGGATATGTCTGTGCAAAAGGAACTTTTTATTATTTGCTCTACGGGGCCTTAACTGGAATGCAAGCCTTATTTTACCATCCTACTCTCTATGCATGAACCTGTGTAGTGACTATAATAGACTATACCATACTATTTCTACTACCGACTCTTTGCTAATCTTACAACCATTAATTTTATCTTATTTAGCACAAAATTAGTATTAGTATATTGTTTCGTATTTAGTCTGTCCGTTTCCTTTTTCACTTCTCGCGATATCGTTTTTTTATGCCCATTGGGGAATAGGGCTCCGCGCTTAACAAGCACAGCTTGTTGTCGTAAGGCCACTTGTTTGCGCTGATCATAGTGCATCAACGTCCTAAATTAAATAAGTCCCTAAATAGAGATGAGAATGAATTCTCAAATCTTATTCAGCAATATCCATCTATCAGTCAGGAAATAATTAGGGGTAGGTTCAAAAAATAAATATCAACATATACAGTTCTAATAATAATACTTTAGGCTATAATTGTTGTCCTAGATATTGTCATAACAATAAAGGGCAGAGTTACAAAAGTACCCAGAGTAATCAGAGTACTGGTATTCCCTAAAAACGTGCCGAACCTCAGAATCAGATTAACTACGTAAGTCGGAGGCAACAGACACATTAGAAAATGGTCAGACATTAGCCTCTCTCCATGGCATCAGCAGCGATATAAGTGGTCGTCCACAGAAGAACCAGGGCGAGAGCTAGTATCCGCCTCATCCTACGGTTCCGCGGTCTGTCCATCTGAGAAGCAGCTCGGTCGTCAGTGACCACCCCTTTTCACGGAATCCACCAGTGAGACAACGCGTCCTGACCTCCCCTGCTTCACCTCGGAATAATATTGAGTTACCAACTCATTAAGAAATATATAAATACATGTGTAATTAATCAAATTAGACATGAATATTATTTTATTATTTACTAGCAGGGTGCCCGCAGCTTCGCTTGCGATGGATAACCCGAATATCCTACTCTTCTTATGTAATAGGTTTGCAGTAGAACTATGTAATTTTGCTTTTTAGATGTTAGTTTAAATATATTTGTAGTTTTGGCTGAAACTTTAATTAATCCTCATTTCCTCACCACCCGGAGGTAGAGGATACGGCGCGTTTTTTTAATGTTGTTTCCCCTAAATAGGCCTTCACTTTGGTGGAGGGTGGGTCACCAATAACTTAAACTAAAGTCTGCAGAAATTAAAACCGTATTAAAGCTCATTTTATATTTTTAAGGAAGCGCAGGGAAATACAAGGCAGAGGGAGAGGGAGGGAGACGGAATCAATTGTTGACAATTTGTATGAAAATGCAGAGAGAGATAGCAATATGCAGGCAGAAAACGTATGATGCTTAGGGAGACACTTAGATTCGATAATAGATCGACTTTTTCCTTAGTTTCTTTGTTTAGAAGATAGCTAGAGCTTTGGTGAAACCATCAAATGAATCGTTAAATCTTAAGGAAAAACTTTACCGAAGGAATTTTTGATACTCAGTTAAGAAGTGCCATTTTTCGACGTTTGAAGATATTTTTGGCTAAATTGTAATTTTAGAACGGGTGTTAAAAATAGTAAAAAGCCTTACATCTAAGCGGTCAAATTTTTTAAACATTTATAATGTCTTAAACTATTTTTCGGCGAAAACACGGATTCGATTGGTTAAACGGTTTAGCGTCCAGAATTTTTGAAAGGAAAATTTACCTTTTTTCAATTGGAAGCGATTGGGGCCACTTGGGGAGCCACAATAAATCTTAGCAAATCAGTTTAAAGTTATTAGAATGTAATAAAAATGCATATTAATTTTGTTAACCAGTGGTTTTGGCTCTGCCCAGTTTTCTTACTGATAGCTTGATGTATAGAGATGAATGAATTCCCTTGGTTGATCGAATACATGTGTGTATTTCTGTGTGGGCTTTGGCATATGTATATTTCATTCTTTTGAGTATATTTGTTTTTCAACATATTCAAGAAATTACTATTTGGTATTGGGTTTGCGAAAATATAGTTATACCAACTTACAGAGTATTATCGAAATATCTTTCCGAGAATAAAAAGAACTTTTACACGTATCAGCTAAAAAGTAGCAAGGGCCTGCAAGTCGTACTTAAGGGCATAGAGTCCGACGTAACGCC